ACCACGAAGTGCTTCAAAGCCGGCTTCCTCAGGCTGGCGATTCCAGCTTGCTGCTGCTAAAGTGCCTCTTCTTTCTTTGGTTCTCTGCTTCGTGGGACTTTTTTTTATTTTTCTGATCCGGCTGCCGATTCCCACACAAATGCTTCTTGGTGCAAAGCTGAAGCTGGTAGAAAGCGATGCATCCAGGCAGGTTTCTCCGCTCTCTGGATTTGCATCCTCCAGCGCTCCGCTGTGTTCCCTCGCCGGCTGCCTTTCTCATTTGCAAGTGTTTCTCACAACCCACGAAGCTCTCGGTGGCCGTGGTCAGGTGAGACGTTTTCTGGGCAGCTTGGCAGGGTTCGGCGAAGCCCGCCTTGCGGGTGGTTTGGTGCTGGGGCCTCTTGTTCAGCAAAAGCTCTTACCGAGCCGCGGACGAGGGCTGCGGGGAGCCCTGGGGAGGCTGCGGAGGATGGGAGTGCCTGAGCGCCGGATCTGCGCTAGAGAGCGGCTGCGGGGGGCTGTCGGTGGGGCTGGGGCGCAGATTTGCCGCCCTCGAAGAGTCGGGGTTGTACGGAAGAGAGATCTGAATTTAGGGCTCGCGCAGGTGTTAGCTGCTTGGTGAGTTTTGTGTGCGAATTAAAAGTCCCGCGTGGTTTTTATGCTGGACCCTGCTTAGTTAGGCGCAGCGTAACTCTGCCGCTCCCTGTTACCGGAGCCCCGACCTCTCCGCGGAGCTCTGCTCCTCCCAGCACTTCCCTTTGTGTCCTTCCGTGCCCGCCACTGCGGCGTTAAACATTGACCCGGCCAAACACGCAGCCCCCCAGGCCCTCCCGGCGCCCGGCACGGGCTCCCGTCGGCCGACCGGCTTCAGACTTCCAGCCTTAAACTTTTCTGCCGGGCTTGGAAACCGCTGTGCCAAATTTAGAGCCAAAGCGTAAATATTTAATAGCAGAGAAGAAAACGATCTCGGGTCCTGCTGCAGTGCGGAGCAAAACAGACTCGGCTGTGCAGCTGCTGCCGGTGTTTGATGCTAAGCAGTAGCTCCTTTTCCGCTTTTCAGGGGTCAGACAAACCAAAGTAGGAGGAATCGTGGTCTGTGGGAATTTTTTTGAAATGAGAGCACACGTTTTTGCGTTTTTCCTCCTTTTCGGGTAGTTTTTTGGCGTACGCTTTTTAGCAAGAGCGATGCTGCGGTCCGTGGGGCAACGTAGCGCTTTCCGCCACTCGCCCGTCTTGCACGACCCCTCTGCTGAGCCTTGCCCGGTTTTTTTCCCCTCTGCGCAGCGGTGGGCTCTCCTCCTCCGTCCCCAAGCTCGTAGCTGAGAGCAGCCCCTGCAAAGACCTGCCTGGAGGGGCCCTGTGGGTTTAACGCCAGCGAGGAAAGCATGAGGGCAGGAGTTTCCTCCTACGGTTGGCAAGCGTGACCTTACCTCGCGCCAGCCTCTCGGTTTCTTCTCTACTTCCCATTTGACGAAGCAGGGCTCGTCACAGCCGCCGCCGGACTTAGAAGGTGGTGGTGGTGGTGGGGGGGAGCAAGGCGTAGCCGGTTCCTCCGCCGCTTCTTGGGACCTTTCCGACCTCCCGTCGAGCTGTTTTCCGACGGCGGAGGTGCTCGCCGGAGACCCCGCAGCGCGGTTTCATGCCTGCGGGCAGAGTTTGCAGCTGCCTGCTCTGGTTAAGGCCTCCGATTAGTCTGGGGCACGTGAGCGTCTCCTTCCCCGTCTCTGCCGTCACTTGATCTGCGTTATGGCCCCGGGATCTTTCCGTACGTGGAGCTGTGCTTGTCGCAGCGAAGGTCTGAGGAAGAGAAACTCTGGCGGCAAAGGCTGCTGGGGACGGGGGCGTTGGGTGAGAGCGGGCTGAGACTCGGCTCCTGCGCAAACGAGCAGGTAACGGAAGGACTAGGGCAAACGCGAGGGGTCTGAAATACTCCCAGTGTAGGACAGCTCCAAATCTGACGGGAATAATCTCCAGGAAATAAACGGCCTCTCGCAGGCTCGGCCGTTCCCACCGCGTGTACGTGATCTGCTTGTCTCACGCCCTCTCGTTTCTCTCCCGGGACAGATGGTGGCCTGGAGGAGATGGTGGAGGAGCTCAACAGCGGGAAGGTGATGTATGCCTTCTGTAGGGTGAAGGATCCCAACTCCGGCCTGCCCAAATACGTCCTCGTCAACTGGGTGAGCGGGGACCTGGGAGGGAGCCGGTGGAAATAAATGACTCTTTCTCCCTTCGATTCTCTCTCGAATCGTCGTTGCCGAACGCTCGGCGGCCGAGGTGTTGAATATCCACCAAGCTGCGATACCGAGGGCGTACCGTGCCCACCGCTCTGCGGGTCCGCAGTCCAAACCCCGTGGACACAGGCGACCAGAGGCTGGGAGGGTTCACTTCCCCCTCGCGTCTCTTTGGCCACGTAGCTCGCTGGGCTGGCAGCGATGCTGCTGGTAAACGGCTCTGAACCCATCTAGGATGGGTTGAATGAAGCGCTTGAGGATCCGCTGGAGCCTGGAGGCCTCACGGTGTGGCCCTTGTCCCTGGGCGGGAGGCTCGCCATGTCCCTCTGAGCAGCGCTTGCTGCAGAGCGGGGTCTTTTCCCACGCGGCAAGCCCTGGTGAAGCCCTCACCGTGGCCAGCGTGGATGATTTTACGGGCTCAGATCAAGGTGCTTGCTGCTATAAAGGCATCCTGGGATGGGACTCTGGGGTAAGAAGGTGCCGATGGTTTCTCTTTGCAGACTGGCGAAGGCGTGAACGACGTGAGAAAAGGAGCCTGCGCCAACCACGTCAGCACCGTAGCAAACTTCCTAAAGGTCTGGTCCTCTTTTCCTTGCGTCCTCCCCGGATCGGTGGGCCCCGGGGCTAGGGAACCCCTGCCCTGTGTGGCTCACGCCGCGCTTTGGGGCGGCGCGGGGGGGCGTCTGTTTGCAGGCGGGACCGTGGCCAGGAGCGGCTGGGGAG